AAAATTCTATTGGTTGAATATTGTGTCAGAGAGAATTTTTGGTAGTTGCGGGACTTGTTCACATCATCCAATTAGAAAGAGCTTTGGCCAAGACTCTTAACTCCGTTTCACTACTCTCCTGATATTTTTTCCAAAAAAAAAAAAAAAAAATCAAATTTATAATTATAGATTTCGGACATTTCTCCAAGTTTCGGTTTCGCCAGGTTTCGGACATTTCGCCAGGTTTCGGACTTTCGGACATTTCGCCAATTTCGCCAGTTTCAGAATTATCGGATTTCTGTTCTTTTGGCGAAATATATTTCGACCGGGCGAAATATATAATTTCGCCCGAAACACTAGGTGTAACCTAACTTTCCGGTCGAGTTCTGTACCAGAACCGGTTCACACCTTTTCACAGGTCATCCGAAAACATGATCCATGTCATATGGCTCAGGACCTAAAATGCCCATTGTTCGACAAAAGCGAAGTAATTTAATAATGCTAATTTGAGTTTGACTTTAGGCGATACACCATTGAAAACAATAGTAAGACGCCTCTGGTAGTCAAATGGTGGGAACTAAAAAGTCATAGTTATGTAAATATGTATGAATTGTTCATCGTTAAACATAGAATTCTCCTCCCCGATACTTAAATTAGTCATATTGTTGTAAGATCCTAATTGTAGTATTAAAGCCCCAATGTAATTGTAATATATAAAACCCATCGATTTCATGGTAGGAACGAACAAGTAGATAGATAATAAGAATCATATTATTAAAAACATCTAACCCGAGGATCCTAGTGAAAGTAGGATCCTTGGTTCTCGGACTAAATCTCCAGTGCCTGCTTTCGAGTAGCCTTCATTTTGGTTGAGTTTTAGGTGGGTAATTTTCACTTTTACAACGTATATGGGTTAAATTATGCGCATATTATGTCGCATCATGATCTCGGCCCTACCAAAAATCAATATACTCTACCTCATGATACACTATTACTTACTGTCCGTTAAAACTGTCTATAGATCTTTCGTAAAGTTACTTTTGCATCCTTATCATAATTAAATTCAGTCACAAAAGTTGGGGCATTTGCATGATGTATCTTGCTATTTTAGACTATGGTACGCCATAATTGAATTAAAATTTTTCGGAATCATGTTCCGATTATTTTTTTTCTCACACTCATACTTTGTATACGGCCGATTGGCCAATAACGTTTCACAAAAAAAGAAAAAATAAGTTGCCCATAAATTATTTTAGGAGCTTTTTCATATATTTACTCTTCAGAAACCTGTGAAGTGGTCAAATATGGATCTGAGTGAATTTGTATGTATCATATGTAGGGAGTTAAAGCCTGATATTCGACAAACACAATGCTGTCCCAAATTTTATTGTCAAGAATGCATCCAAAATATGGAAAACAGTTCCATTTGTACAATTTGCAGACAACGCACTAGCTTCAAGGAATGTCCCCAAATATCTCGTTTGATCAATACTAAGTTCGGCATCAATACTGAGCTCAACATCAAGAATACGTTTTATGATAAGATTCGCAATTATTTTTTACCAAGAAATAAAACGAATACAACCAACAATAAATTACCGCATGATGATTCCAATGCAGGTGTTTTTAAAATTAAAGTAATGAATATGCATGATATAAAACTCGATCTCTACGTTGAAGGATATGAAACAATTGAAATCCTCAAGCTCAAAATTCAACAACTAGATGGTATGCTACTAATTTTTATAACAAAGAAAAAGAAATCATACATTTTAATAATAATCTTCTTTCTAGGCATTCGTCATAAATATCAGCGATTAATTTTCTGTGGCAAACAATTAGAAAACCATAACACCATTTCATTTTACAAGATCAAACCAGATTGCACTATACATCTTGTAAGTCGCTATAATGGTAGTTAAGAAAGTAATCAGTTCAGTTATATATATAAAGATAAATATGAGATTAGTATACAGATAATGTATCATAGTGGAGAAAAATGATTGATATTCATTGTAATCATTAAAATTCTTTTGGTTTATCGCCATTTTTTCCTATTTTAATCCTGTCACACTGTCACTAGCCTATTGCGTTCATGTTCTGAATCAATGATCCTGTTATGATAAGGTAGCTGCACGACGTTGTCGTACAAAACCAGGAACAGAAATTTATTTTGATATTTGAAAATTGTTTTTTATAAATAAACTAGCAATTGTATGTGCAGCAGGCAACGAAGTCGACCGCTTGTATTAAAAAATTGTATGAGATTAGGATGAGAATATTATGTATTAATGGTATTAAATTACAATATTATAATGTTTTAGATATAATTTGAAGATTTAATAATTAATGACAAAGCTCGTAATTAGGTAAAACAGAAAATAACTTAAGGCGAATAATTGTAATTTGGCCTTTAAGGATCTAATTTCAGGTTATTGCTCGATTTAATTTATCAACGGTTATCGTTATTTAATACTTTATTATAATAACAATGACATATTCTTTAAGTTTAGGCATAAAAGTTTACATGCAGCACAAGACAAATATATGCGCAGCTCATAATCTTTATTATTAATTTCCTCTTTATGTGATGTTATATTGTTTTCCATAAAAAGCATTTTGTATTGCTATCTAGCAGGGATCAACAAAGAAAATTATCTCTTAATGCTATAAAAGAAAATACTTCTACAGTTTTTTATATATAATGCATGTATATGAACATGAAATGAACATAAATATGAATGAATTCAAAAAATTTTTGGTCCAAAAGTAAATTTTAATTATGAAAAGTTTATTTTATTAATGTCTTTATAGTATAGTAGTTAGGTTATCAAACTACTATACAATAGGTCTAGAGTTTAAATTCTATTATTAATGAATTTGAATAATTTTTTAGATTTTGTAATATATTATAGTAAACTTTATCTATTTCTGAAGATATATTTCTATAAATTGAGTTATACTAAATTTATTTAAACTTGAAAGTATAATATAATATTACAGTTAAATCTCTATAATTGCACTCTCTATAAATGCATATACTATATAAATTCTCTCTAAATGCATACTCTGCTATGGTTCTAAGTATATAGAAACATAGTAAAAATTCTCTCTATAAATGCATACTCTACCTAAATGCATATTTTTAAAAATTTTTTCTATAGTCTCAAAAGGAGTGCAATTATAAAGATTTGACTATATATAAAAAAATTTTAATAGAATATACAAGCAAAAAATCTACATAATAGAAATTTTAAGCTAGTAAAGTAGTATAGTTTTCTTACAAAACTATATCAGTTAAAGTCTAATTCAAAAAAAAACTTGGTCTAATAAAAGTAAAAGATTACTAGATGAAAAGATAAAGTAACTAACTAGATACTAAAAAAGAACTAGGTTAACTAACTAGTAGAAGATTATAGTAAAACTTAAAATTATATAAAATTGCAAAGATCTAAGCTAAGTAAATTTGTAAAATTAGAACAAGACTATTCTAGTAAGAATTATTTTTTAGATTAACTAAAGTTCTGTATATTTATAATAATTTGAGTAATATATATCTTAAAAGAATTTAAATCATATAGTAAATAAATTTATAAACAAGTTAGCTAGCATAAATAGTTATATATAGTAATAATATTAGTTTAATATAAAGAATAAAGACCTAGTAATCTAGTATAGTAAATAAGTTGTTAGACTATTATACAATAGGTTTAGAGTTCAAATCTCACTATTAATAATTTGAATAATTTCTAAACCTTGTATCTAACTTATAGTAAACTCTATTTGTTTTTAGAGATTATAATCCTATAAATAATATTGTACTAATATTAATTAGATATTAGAAGTATGATATAACATTTGAAGAGATATAATATTATATGAATAAATCATAATAGAATCTATGAACAGAGAACCTGCATAGTAAAAATCCCAAGTTATATAAAATTGTACAGATTTTATTAGTTATATTAGTAAATACTTGATCTGATAAAAAGGTTTGTAAGGTTTGGTGATCTTAGTGTAGTGGTTAGGTTGCCAGATCACCATGCAAGAGGTCTGGGGTTTAAATCCCACTGTCGACAAATTTGAATAATTACCCAGACCTTTGTATTTAACTTACGGTAAACCCTGTTCGTTTCTGGGGTTGTAACCCTGTAAATCACATTGCACCAATATCATCTGAATATTGGAAGTATGACAGGGTATTTGGCGAGACATAACGTTATACGAATAAATCTTGATAGGATCTATAGGCAGGGGACCTGCATGGTAGAAATCCTGAG